TATAGACCCGTAAAGGGACAGAGCAGTAAATAGATTATAGCCTATTTTCTAGTAGCTGCGACCTCTGCTTCAGCTGTTTTTTTTTAACAGAATCGTTACTTTGAAGTAGCGCTTTCCGCAACAAAGTGGTATATACTCTGATCTTGTTTTGATTTTTCTTTTAATTTGAGGCAATTTAATACCCGCAGACAATACTGTGATCATTTCTAATATTGATGAGCATAGACCGCTCATCTTTTGCGTAGAGACGATTTGAGCATAAAGGATTTTTGAGAAAAATGCGCTTTGTTTGTAATATGTCCTCAATTGTAGATTACAGGTAATGGTTTATGTACATTTACCTGTCCTTAGGAAATGGATACTGCCAATTTCGTGAAGAAAAAAATAATGACAATACGGTTGTGCCTATCTAATAAGGACAGTGTTACGCCTAACCTTTGCTTCATATCTCATAGAACGAGATGTATGCACTCGCTATGCCTTCAAAGCTTCCTACGAAGTGGCCATGATACAAGTACTAAATGAAATATATATGATAAGCTGCTCTATGTACTATATGGTATAACCTAATATAGCATATTGTATATAATAAATCATGATGAAAACGTTTAAAGTAATCAAACGATGAAGGAAGCGATATTTGACAAGGGCATTTATCCACTTCACGGTAGTAGCCATTGTACAGGCCGCCGTGCGGTTAAATCATTCATCACGTTTACCGTTCGTTCTACAGCCGTTCAACGACGACAGTTCGTTTTTCGCCAGGCGTCAACGACCATTTTTACAAGGTGGTGAAAGCTTAGTCCGGTGAGGCGGGGGCTGTCCGGCGGCCTTTTTCGCTCTCCGCCCCCATCTACGGTACGCCATGCCGCATTGTTAGACGCCTCGCGACAAACGAAGATGGATTTAGCAACGAAAACGCTTACCAGTTCTTTGTTCCGTCTCGCTATATGCTTACCGCCAATGGGTTTTGTTGTCGCTTCGATTTCCACTAGCCGTAGGCTCGAACGGGGGAAAATCTAGCAATGACAGAGCAGTTCCACTCAGCAGGCAACAGACTGTAGCAGCATTAGCAACTGTAACCTTTACTTTTTTCATTGAAAGCGGCTTAGTCGCTCCTCGTCATTATTGTTATAAGATGAATACCTGTTGTGAGTGGCTGTCGTATACCACGCTAAGCTCTGCAACTCCGTGATAACCGTTGTCTCGTCTGATTGAACGGCTATAGCCAGCGTCAGACAAACGGTCGTGCACCTACTGACATTCATGAAATCCAGCCAAATTAAAGTTATCAACTAGTTGAAAATCCTCCCAAAACCGATCAAACGACCTAAAAAAGGTTTCCAAGAGTTATCCACCAGACTGTGAATATTATCCGCAAGCAAGGAAGCTCTCGGTGACGGGCGAAGGACCCAGAAACTATACATACAACATAGTCTACCTGAATCGTTCTATTTTGCCATAGGGATAATGGTGGCTGTCGGGTAAAATAGTGATTGTGTCAATATAACTGGTAATGTTTTTGGTGTTTAGACGAAATGTTTAGTTCCATACGTATGCTACCACCGCTAAACGTTTGAATATATCGGTTTAAATTCTGAGAACAGCTAGAGATTCATATTATTTTGATATCAATCTCTCAGTTTTTATCAGCATACCTATCTATCATCACTCGTATAGAGAGTTTCTTTCGGGTCTACCGCTTCGGGTTGGACCGTAGCAAAAGTATTGACCGTTTCTTCATCTAAATGATTTTCAAGTCACGCACCTCAGGGTAGCCGTTGCTATCATTTCAAAGCAGAGATTTGACGGTAGTAGATGTGCTAAAATATTTGAAATTTCTTTTTTCAGATATAAGATAGAGTGTTCTAAGAATAAGTACTTTTTTTTTGCAAAAATTTAGTAATTTTACAGCTTTGTTGCGGTAAAGGTACACATTCTGTTTGAGCCCATAAAAAAAATTGCGTTGCTTATAATTAAGATACGTTGTCGGAGGAAAAATACAAACATGGTCTTATCATGTAACTTTCTTCTAGAAATCTTGACATGAAAGATGGTCCCATAATGATTAATCAATTATGAAAAAATTGATGAAATTATTGTTAAAGTAAAAAATTGAGCAAGATCGACAGATGAGTAGCCATCATATGGCCGAGGAGCTAAACATCCACCACGACATAGTCTTTAACCAGATAGAAAAAGGCTCCAAAAAGAGGCCGATGTCACACGAATTGACGTAAAATAATTAATTCGATTGTACTTTCACCCATAAAATTCTATGGAAACGCAACAGGATCAAGCTTTTTTTTTTAAAGCGGTCGATCATGGATTATAAAGAGCAGGTTATTTATGAAAATAATATGTAAATAAAAATTAATCCACAACCTATGGTAAAGCCCAAACTGACGTCAAAGATGGTTATATTTTGTATTTTATCAGACTGCAGTGAGTTTTTGCCGGCAGACGAAATCACTGATTTGGACCTCCACGGCCAACAGCTAACAGGATTACGACAAGACCCAGAAAAAACTGGACCAGGCTAGTAAACAAAAAATAGGTATCGCCGTTCACGATAACAATGTTAGACCACAGACATATTTAGCTATCTGAAAAATATTAATAGGAAACTTCAATGCATCCACCGTATAGCCCGCATCTGGCACTATCCGACTATCATCTATTTCGGTGTTTGCAGAAATTTCCTAATAATGTTTATTAAATTTCAGTTAAGGAATACTAAAATTAACCACTCATTACAATTTTTGGGTAAGAAACCGGAGAAATTATGGTGTCACTAAAAGGATGCTAGAAGATCATCAATAAAAAATTCCTACTATCACATTTAGTTTAGTGACGATATTTTAAAACGAAAAAAAAAAAGGCGTTTGCTTCAATTTTGGCTTTAAAATGTTATTTTTTTCGACAGCCTAATAGATGTACATACACAAATACATAAACGTGAATACCTATGAGAAAATAATTGTTGGTCTGCGTCAGCTGGAAAAGTCTTGATTTGCTGGCCACAGCTAATCAGCCATTATTAATCGCTTGATTTTCGTAAACGGTCTCTCACAGTGCATCTTTCGTTTCCCGTTCTGTGCGACCTAGGATATGACTATAGCAAGTAGAGTTTTCAGTAACAATCAGAACCGCCTACCACGCCATGGTACATTAATTGAACGAATTAACCAAAAAGGCAGATCCTTAGCGTCTCTGGACATATAAAAGAATAAAAATTCCCAGGAATACTAGAAGGTCAATAAAGACTATCAAGTGTGGTTCGGTAAACAACGCCGTCTCACCTGTGGTTCTTCGAAAATACGTATATACAGCCGAAAAGCGATACACTATGCTGTAAATTTATGCTGTGGGTAGTCACTACATGTTTAAGCCAAGGAATCGTGTTTTTCTGTTTTACTAGACATATGACTTTCTACTAATGAAAATTGACGCTGATCAAGTAGCGTCAAATTGAACAAAATTAGCCATTAAAATCGAACAGTGGCGTTAAGTAGTTTCATTGGCCGTTCCTGTTCATGGTGGGTCAGCACTGGCGAATCTCAGATCGCTAAATTGGGTCCTTTTTATTCACGGTCGTATTACTTCCTCCAATTCAATCACAACAGAAGTTTGTACCTTTGTAGGACGCGGCTCACAACGGAGTCGCGTCGCCGGAGCGGTGGTTCTATCGACAACTGAGCTGACTAATCTGCAATTATTTGAGCCCAAAAAAATGCAATTATATATGTCCTAAAAATTACTTAAGCCTACTGGTCTCTGTCCTGGCAGCTCGTTGATTACATATACACATCCTGATGTGCCACAATCTATCGATTTGTCTATGAATATCACTGAAATGCCTTTTGTAGAAGAAAAAAAAAACAAAGAGGTAAGTAATAACCTACAACTCTTTCAGTTTGACAGAGAAGGAATGGACGGCATGATTAGAAGGTTTAACGTTTTTTTTATGAGTCTGCTCTCAAGCTGTCATTCATGAGAAAGTTTGTTCGTATCGAGCTAGACAAGACGACTATTTCAGTAGATTATTTGATATTATATATATATATATTTATATATATAACCGGTGAGTACGGCAGGCTTTGCTTTTAGGTATTTGTGTGTACAACAGTGCAAGACTTCCACGAGCGTTCTTTTATCGCGCTACTGATTATAGTCACGTGGGAGGTAAGCTTCGAGAGCTAAAGATGAAGGATTTCGGTTTTTGCGGTTTCAAACCTATGAGATATATATATATATATATATATATATATATATCGCAACGATGTACAATTCCACTACGGCGTTTGCGTTAAGGAACAAATATTAATACACTATTCTGTTAGGTCGTCTCTATAGGTTAATCGTTCATAGCACTGCGTTAACCGTTCGAGAAACTCAACCTATATTTGTTCAAAATATTATTAGTTTAACGTCTGTCAATGAAAACAATGACGGTAAACAATGGAGGCTTCTCTCAGCTTTCAAAATACGTCATCAAGCGGTAGGATGAGTGTTAAGGATGCACGTTATTATCTCAGATACCGCCCGACATATTTGTCCATTGAACTGATACGAAACAAGCTATGGTATCGACTGGCGATCTTCGATAATTTTCCTAAGTGCTCAGTTTATTTTGATAGAAATACAGGGTTATGATGAGTATATATTGTAGTAGGCTATCTAAGATATGCGAGCTCCACGAAACAATGTTTCAATTACGCACATTGTTAAGTACATGGTGTTTAAGTTCTGGCAGTATAGCTGACTCGTGTGTTTTTAAGAATAATCAATGGCACCAGCATCTGCTATGCGACAAAGATGAAAAATTATTTTGTGCCAAACTTAGCGGTATTCTAGCATATAGAACATTTTTCTTTCAAGGCCATGTAAGATCAAATATACCAAGCATAAAAAGAATCTAACTTATCTAAGCGTAGTTCAATAAACTTGAAGTCGAGATTGTTTCTTGATTGCGTTTTTTTCTGTGTGTGTGTGTTTAGGTGCCGTCAGCGGGCGAATCATCAGCTTCAGTGGCATCGCCTGTCTCTTTATCGGCGGAGCGTGATATCCACCTGCACTGCGAGAACTGCATTAACGTCGGCACTTGCCACGACTCCACTTGTCCGATCGTGCCGTGCGACTGTGGACACAAACTACACGAGTGCAAACTCGAAGACCACGCCCTTCTCTGTCGTGAGGCCGATTTCAAAGTATGTACAAGGATTGGCCAACAATGGCAACAGTCAGATCACCCCCCCCCCCCCCCCCAATTAGATGCAACAGGCCCGCCGCTTTTGGCAGCTTTGGCTTGTAATGGCCTTAAGTGATATTTTTCTATTGATAAACGGTCAGCATCCAAGTGCCGCGCCATCGTTTCTCCTCATGTTATTATTGTGGTATAACTACGTTGAAGCGAATGACCCATTTCTATCAGACGTGAATTGTTAAAGTATTTTGATCAAACTTAACCAATCCTACCCATTTCAATAGTTCTGTAAAAACAGTGATTATTTAAATAGTAATCTAACATCCTATACATTTTAACTGGGATCGCACAGTCGAATAACAGGAAGTGATCCACACCTGCCGGCCTCAATGAACTTGTGTACATCAACTATAATACGATTAATTGGGCCTAGGAGACGAGAAACGTCCTCAAGCATCCTTAAAACGATAGAACATCGTTAGACGTAGGACTATGCAATAGCAATTCTTTCTAAAACCTTTCTATTGTGATCCAGCATTGCGACCTTAGTTTCGCAAATGTTCAATATTGCCGGGTGCAGATTCGCTTCTGTATGGGTCTTCAACATTTTCGAATGAGCGAAAGGCGCTTTCAATTGATTTATGTTCGGCATTATCGGAATATTTGATCTTATATCATCTTTTCTTCGCACCGATTATAATTTCAAAAGATATTCCCTCTGCTGTTTCGTGATTCTGCTTTGGAAAGCGTTTATAAGGGTCGATGATAAAATGAGCGTCGTCCCTCTAAAAAGCCTCATGGGCACGGGGCTCTAATCGACCGTCTTTAATGTATGTCTTCAGAAAGAAAAACCGGTGTGCTATTCACCGTCAAAATCAAATATTCTTAATTCGGACTATGGTCAAATACGTAAATTGATCATTATTTTCTATTTTCAGCAGAGATTTATCTACGGTATATTATGAAGCCCTTCAAAAAAATACAGATAATTTTATATTCAGTTTATATATTTACTTGACAAAGATGTGAATGAAAGATGATGACGATATGGCAAGTATGAAAGATGCGCCCTTCAGCCTTCTGGAAAACTTACTGTCCGATCGAACTTGGCCTGCGTTAGGTTTTATTATTTAAGGATCTCTATTTGGAACAACTAATAAAAATAAACGCTATTTCATAGTGACCCATGACCGCATGTACTGATAAAACGCAAAATAGAGAAGATACGTATCTGTCACGCTTCACACGTCGTAGGCTTTAATTAGAAGTTGTTAGAATATTAATAATAATAGTACAGACATTAAAAGTCCTTGCTGCTTTCCAGCCCCAACGCTTTATGTACGTCCATTTCAGATGCCCAAAACAAGTGGGGAATTGCAATGCGCAATTTGTCTAGACTTGCGCTGATGAACTATTCTAGTCCCTGTTTACATCTGTTCCCATATTTTCTGTCGGTCTCTGTCGTCAGTATGTGTGTGCGCGATTATAAGCAAATTTCTGATTTCTATTAATTTGCTCCTTTTTCCAAAATTAACATCATTGCGTTTTGGTGACACTGCTCGCCTCCCTAGGCTAACTGACCGAAGTTACGCACAGATGGGAGTCTGATCGTCAGATTCGTGACTCTGATAGTAGCAAAAAAAACCTTTATGCGTTCGTAGCCGCTAATATCAGCAAGAGCCTCTCACGATCAGTGATCCGTTGTAGCTTTTTCATGAACTCCTTATTCCTGAACACTCACAAAGGAAATACAGCACGAAGAAAGAAGCTTATTTCGGGCTGCATCATGTTCAACATACAATTATAGAGAGCACAGACACGTGCACATACTCTGCTATAACATGCGTTCTCGTTGTACGCTTGTTGTGGATAGCAGCTAACTCTGACCATAGAGTCCACTGTTAAGTTGAATAGAATTAACAAATTACCAGTAAAACGCATACGTTGTACTGTAATACATAACGATTAAACAGCAGTTGACGGACACCTGTGAAATAGACCAGTGTCTATGTGTTAACAGTTATAGCAAAGAATTACATAAAAATCTTCTTCGTATATCTATAAAATAGGTGTGAGGGACATGATCCGCATTTATAAGCTAGTATAACCTTGGTATGTGAGAAATCAAGCAATCGAAGATTTCCCACAATTGTTTCGTGTGTAATCGCCCGCTTGATTTTGGATGAGTAGCATTAGATGAGAAGTAACCAGGAAGTTTTTTATTCAGCTCCTTCACTCAGATGGATGTCGGTGGTCCAGTCGCTTGGTAACTGGGCGGTAATGAACTTATTTAGCTAAGACCTGAGCAGTCAAGCCAGCGACAATTGCTCATCAGTCACAGCTGTCCGATGTCACAGACGGCTAAACACGATCAAAAATAAACGAGGAGAAGTAACGCGATTCTTCCGATAGCTACTGCTGCTGCTACTACTACTACTACTACTACAATTCTACCGCTATTATATAAACTTGAAAGTGGCAAACAAAGTTTAATATCGTGGGGTCAGCTTAGGGTTTAAGATGGCCGAATAGGTCAGGAGCGGGAGGATACCTGTACGAGCAGATAAGCCGCGAGCTGAGCCCTACCCTGAGCAAGAGATGCGTACATATGCTAACGACGGACTTCCTTACAGCTGATGGCTTGCAAATTAAATGATGATTAAACAGTCTGTTTTCTATAAAATCATATATGCTGTTTATCTTCTGAAGGGTACATTCTATAAATATAATGGGGTAACGCTAATTACTTGTGTTGCTAACTGTTTGTTTTAATGTTATCGCGTAAAAACTGTTCGTTGGACTAGTTTTTGGCATAGGTGTTTTTGCTTTTCTCGCAGAAAATTTTTGGCATTAGTATAATATCAAAATGCGTCGACCTCATGTCGGAAACGAAATGAAGAATGTTCATGTTATCTATAGCCTACATTCTGCTGATCGGTATGTTACCTCTATTCCGCCAATTGAGTGCCTGTTCGGCAAAAGAAGCCTGTAAACGCTTAATTAAATTGAGTTCAGCAAATCTTCAGCTAGCACATATAAGTTTATTATAGAACTACGAGCCTTGATTTGCTATGGTGGTAGACAGTGGTGCTATGATTCTTTCTTGTTTTGTTACTGGAAGTTTTTTTTGAGGATGACATTGCTATTGGTAAGCTACCCATTCCGTTTTTAGTAATGGGCGATTATGGTCATTGTTCTATGAGTAGTAATTCGGTAGTAAATAGAACTACTAGAAGTGACCGTAGCTTGCCATACAACCTACCGATGACCGAAGACGGTCGACAACGACCCTGAAAAGTGGGGCGGAATATAAGTTAATACCACTGGTGGGTGCAGCAGCGGGATATGTGTAATAACAGTAGCAAACCGAAGTGACGCCAGGGCAATTTTGTGTGCCCGAAATATAATAGCAGCTTGCCATGCATACCCAAACAGCGCAATTCAACAACTTATTGGGACGTATGAGCAGAATGATAAACGATCGCCGAATCAGCTGAAGGTATTGCAAATGTCCTATAGAAGCCACTTGTAACGGCCAGGGTCAATTCATCAACTAATCGAGCCCAAATATAGGCACAATTAGATTAATACCTATGCGACGATCTGAGAAGTGGCTACCGGAGTTTTTGTTTTCCTATGCTCCGCTGACTATAGCGTAAGTAAATATATACCTACAAGAACGTTGGTAGATATGTAATCTGCGCTGTTATAGACCTGAAATATCCCGGTATCGAATATAGTTTACTGCAGACCGACGATTGGCCTGTGTGGTCCGTGCGAGTCTAGTTACTCTATGTAGGCCGCCGCTTTCTGTAGGAATCAATAAGACCAAAAAAACTCATTCCTCATGCCTAAATCCAAAATGCCGAGAGCGGGAAAAATAGGCGGAAATCAAGGTGGTTGTTTTGGTCTAGAAATTTCCAACGGAAAGAGTATATTGGAGTATAAAGCTAAACTGAACAAGATTTTACTTAGACACTAAAATGTAGGTTAAAGCTTAAAAGGAAACGGTGCACACGTGTATCCGTAACAAATGAAAATATTAAGCTTTTATTGGATTTCGACACACGCAAATAGAACACCCTACGCCTCATCTGCGCAGAGAAGATGTTCTGCAACTGCCCGTGTACCTCATCGGAAGTAATCCTTTTTGCTTGTCACTAGCTGATCGTCTGCTCAACCTAACAACGTATTATACATAATTGGCAGAGGATACGGCATAGATTTGATATGAGCCAAATGCTAATAGTGCATTGTTGCCCTTTCCTACTGCTAGTTTTTACGCCAATACGGCGTCGACCTCGTTCTCTTGGTGTCTAGTAGAACCAAAAATTTCCTTTCGTTTTATTTACGTTTTTGCTAGGGTAGTCTGGCAGTTCCTGTTTGCCCGGTATCCTTGTCTTTCCTATCGAAAATCTTAGTAGGCCTGTTGTGCTTCGTTGGAACCGATAATCACGAAAAAGGACACAACAAAGGACGTGAAACGGCGTCCATGTTTGGTGTCGCAACTTTCCTTAACTCAAGGCCAATGAGTTAATCTATTTTGAGAAAAAAAAACTAATTATTATCGCAAAAACATTCTATTACGAGTGAACAAAAATTAGGTCTAAAGGATAGTCGAAGAACCAGCACTATCGCGAATAGGAATTCGACCCCTCTGTCTCCCGCCCTCTTTTTTCACACTTGGGAATTTAATCCGTAGGGAACCGCTGACCGAGAGAAAACGAAATGCTTCTGCCTCGAAAGCTTCAGGGTAAGCTGTGCACTATGGTTGTACTTTTTGCATACTCTACGCACCGTCATACATTGGAAAGGCAGGGCGAAAATCTACCGAACGGTAAACTAAAAGATACAAACAAAGTGATCATTGCTATGGCAATCGGCAAAAATCGGACGAAGTCCGTTAATTTATTGCATTGGTGTTGCATACGATAAAAAATCTATCTGCACTTCTGCACTTTTGATGCCCGGCGGAAGCACAAAAGCGCCCGTTCAGAAGGCGACAGCGCGATCTATGCGAGAGAATGCCACACAGAAATTTCTGTAAAAACAAACAGCTCTACCCTTTTATCGTAGCTACGATGAAAAAATAGCTACTGGCTACTTCGTGAATTAAAATTTGAAATTGGGCGGGACACAGTGCTACGGTTATTAGCGAACTATTTGCTTAGTAGAAATCTAGTCGTTAAACTGAATGAACGTATTCATATTTGCGGTGATAAAAAATGTTTTCTATTTTTATGCAAATATTTCGTATCATGGATGTTCCTGTACAATAGCCTGAAGCCGGCCTTGCAATTATTCCATAACATCCAGGTTGTTGTAGGCTGCTAGGCGGAGGTAATTTACGTCGACCCAACTTTTGTTCCACGGCCCTTGCGATTAAATAAACATCAATAAGATTATCCAAATCAAGTATAACATCAGCAAGCTGTCGCTAATTGGTTTCTAATCTCACTTATGATCACCGGACGAATTTAATCGTAACAAATGGCATCTGGAACATTAGAGGGCGAAACAAAAATGGAAGAGGAAAGAGCCGACTGATGCGGAAGATTGCGGGGTTTGGCCACTGCCTTGACGATTCCGTACAACGGAAAAAAAATTAAGCAGGCAATAGTTGTCGGAGTATCCTTAACTCTGTCCAACGCCTAACGCGAGCCGCTTAATTTTCTTGAACACGGCGCGTTTTCTGCAACATTCAGCTTACAGTCACCTTTTCACTAGGGCAAGGAAAACTAAATGAAGGGAGAAAATGGGGAGACGAGCACGGGAATTAATACACACTACAGAACTCAATGGGTTATGGTGGCCGCAATTCCCGAAATGTTCCTTCTTGTTGCATAGCGATGATCCCAGATGCATTCCAATGCAGTGTAATATATACCTACACTCCCTAAATACGACATCATTGTCCTTTTTTCCTACTCTTTTTTAATTTTTATTCAGCATTATCATTAACCTAAGCAGTGGCATGACAATAGCGCGTCGCTTGTTGGCAAACAAAAACTAATCCATGTTTCTTTTAATGCACGCGCGCGTGTGTGTGTGCGTGTGCATCTTTTTCTTCCCCTCCCTTTCTCTACCCCCTCTCTTCCTGTATTTGTGTTTTTCTCTCGATCAATAAATGGTCATTTCAGGTAAGAGGGGCATTATCGGGGCGAGCCAACGGTTCACGTTGGATTCAACGATCTGCGACCCACGTTCGCAATCCTTCGAGTGCTGTTCCCCCTGCGTTACGGAAGCATCCTGAGCTTTCGTCTCTTTCACCTAACCGCATGGCGTCACCCTCGCAATTGGACGCGGGCTCTGCTTCGCAGCGTTCTCCTAACCAGGATTATCTTCCCACTTCAACTCCTCCAACCTCTCCTTTAGAATCATCTCCCCCCTCTCAGACTAACTCTAACTCGGGTGCGGGTAAACGATTCTTGCTCGACGATGTCGAAATGAACGTGCTCGAGACGCTGGCCAAAGAGAATCCCGACTTACTGACCCACGGTGTAAATCTCGACATCGAGGAAACGATCACATGCTCCCCAGAAGACGACACACCGCCTGGTCTACACGAGTCTGATATGATGTCGCCATCAAGTGAACAAACTGGCTCGGGTCTAAACTCCGAACGCAACTCTGTCCCAAACGTTGAAATTTTTGTCGTAGCTGATTCTGCCGAGTCCAAAAGACGTACAGACAGTTTAGTCGAACTGGGAGAGAACATCGTTGCTGAGGCTGTCCAGCTAGCGAAGTCCACAGTTGAAGATATGCTTCTGCGCACGCAGGAAGAGAAGCTCGCGGCAGCACAACAGCATATGAACAAGGGTGACGTGAATAATCAAGCAGAAACGGTCACGCCTGATAAGGCACGTATTTCCCCTAACAGCGGGGACAACGGCGAGACTATGATCAATAAAGCCGAGGAGCAGAAACAGACGTCGGAGCTGTTAGACTCGCTAATGAAGACACCGCGGCCGGCAGCCCGTACCTCACTTGCCGGTGAGGACGCCGATAGTTTGTCGGAAGAGCCCGACAACAACGAGCCCGACTCGGAACAGATGCTTGACGACGCTTCGCTTTCACTTCATGGGCACGAGGAGCCTGAGACGGTGAGTGAAGAGTCTTCCTCCTGTTTGGAGCCGGTGCGCGTGCAGGGTGCAAAGAGTCCTACACTCGAAGACATACCCGACTTGCCAGATGACCAGGAAAAAAAGGCCAAACTCAGAAGTAAAGCGCGCAAAGATGTTATCGAAGAGGTGATCGATGAAGATGATGACGATGACGACGAGAGCCAGAACTCCGACACGGAGTCGCATTCGCCATCACCCCTAGATAACTACGTAAGTCCGCCGGAAGCAAAGAATGATGTCTCTCTCTACAAATCGCAAATACCCTCTTCCTCAAACGCAGGGCGTCCGGTTCTGCAGCGTTTTATTGAACTTGCCTTCGGTTAATTCGCGTCTGATTATATTGTTCCAACGTTGATAGTAACATTTTTTTTCTGGAACAAGAACAAAGGAAGCACCCATAGTGCCGAAGGCGGGATTTTTCAAAACGGCATCATATAATGTTATATTTTGATGTGTGAATTCTAACTAGATATAACAGAGAAAAGCGAGCATAAGAATAAACGCTACCCTTGGATAAGGAAGAATTTGTTGGCTAGTGATAACGCGCTCTGTTTAACAGCTGATCATATAGTGCTAAGGCTTCTACGACATAATCGCCGTATAGTGTATTCTTCAGCTACGTCCGAAATACTTTCGCCACCTACGAACGCCGTGGAGTCATGCCAGGGGTCAACTGTGTAGCCAAACTGTGTTGCTCGTCGAACCTGGGTGTTTACTTATGACAAGTTTTCCCGCCCTATAACGACTGCTACCTGCCTGAACTCGTAACTGGTCACTTAATGATGAATGAGCTTGTTTTAAGGGGCAGCCTTCATGAACATGAAGCTTGCGTAACTTTTCTCGGCATGTTCTTTCGACAGGATTTGTGTATGGCTCTTGTCGATGCAACTTATTAATCTGAACCTTATATTCTGCCAGGGTTCTCTTGGTTGTCTGGGGATCTGTCCTAATATATATATATATCATACGCCTGAAATTTATTCAGAGTAAAGTGACCTAGCGGTTTTAGGTCACAAGTTTTATTATGATAGATAGATAGATAGATAGATAGGATTTGATGGCGAAAATAAAACAAACCACGACACAAGCTTACACAGGAATAAACAGTTTAATAGCTACATGCTACCCACAGACACTTATGCGACTTGGCTTAGGGGCTTTTCTATCAGATATTACAGCCACGGGTCAGAATTGTATTGCCATGTTTACACTTACTAAAAATATTTAATTAATAATAATTACAGCGCCGCAGCCGAACGGTTGTTCGTAAAGTGAAAAAGGTTGAGGCAACCGTTATACATTCGGAGTCAACGATGACAACTGGAAAACAGGAAAAGTTACAGTCTTCAGCCACTTCCTCCAATGTAAGTTTCTTCATACAATAGATAAGATTAATATTAACGTGTTTACTTAGAGCTATTGCGAAATTAACACAGTCACATTAATTAACATGAGCGCTGATGCGGTATAAATGAATCATTCAGGTATTGGTGTATATGAATAATGTACAGTTAAAGACAAACATCTGGCTTTTACAATTAAGCCTTTTACACAAATGAAGATATCGTGTCCAAAATGTCCAAGAAGCTTGCTTCACCTGCTTCAAACTGTTGGGTTAGTAGAGTGGACCATTTTTTTTATTTTGGGTGAATTCGACGATTAGCATCAAATTATCCATGCTCATATACTCGGGACAATCGTAAGGAGTTAAACAATATCACGCATCTTCAGTTGCCGTCAGAGCCTTTTTGTAATTAACAGATTTTCTTGCCTACTTCTCCCAGACGAAATTCTTGAAATATCTAGGAGGGCCATCGGCTAACAGTACTATTACAAACAATAAAATATAGGAATCCTAGCCTGTATATGAACTCCTGTATGGCAAGTCAAGTACCTCGCAGATGTGGCTAAGTGCCCCTGTGACTTCTTCTAGGGATTTTTGCTCTCAGCTTTTGTTAAAGCCGAGAAAAAACGAGCTGATTGCCGGAACACGGTCTCGGAATAACGCCACTAAACAATAGCCACTCACTCGTACGGTAGTTAACAATAAAAGTGTAAAACGTTTACTAAACATGTTCTTTACTGGCCGTCGTTACTTATCCTGTCAGAAGTAAATCGTTGAGCGAAACAAGGAACGTTTCGAAAACGCACAATGTCAACTCCGCCGATGGTTAATAACAATTACTACTCCGAACAACGGATTTTGAAGCCGTGTGCGTAAATAACAAAAAATGGTCACCATTGCTAGCCGTTGTCAACATCTAGGCGATCGACAAACTAGCCGTCTGCGTGCTTGGTCGCACGAGCCTCTGTGCCCCCGCTACACACGAGTAGCGGTGCGGGTTTAAGTGATATTTATGGTTACCTCCGTCCGATTCAATGGAGAACGTAGCCGTTTCTCCATCGACTGATCGACTACTACCAGTAGAGTTAAAGCGAAGTCAAGAAGTTTTTCATCTCGTCGAGCTTTATACTATTTGCTGCATCAAACAACGACAGCAGACTTGAGCGGCGGCAATTTACGAGGAAAGTTTCTATTTTTTCTGGCGATTAGAAGAAGGGATCTGTCTGTCTGCTGCCAGCCCTTCTAGTCAATAGATCTCCCATTGCATCATGTTGGCCGTTCCGGCCTCGGCGTTGATCGGTACTTTTACGTACCGCGGCTAGAATATACATACTATTTGATTGAAGGCCCATTATCGACAGGTAAATCGATTGACAAGAAGATAGAAGGATATATTCGCTCAATGTTTTATATATATCCGCAGATAACGACCCTAGATACCACCTGTAATATTGAACCCCCATCGGTTGAGTACCCAACAAATTTCATTCAGGTGTGTCTTTGTAACTCTATATCCATACGCAGATGTGTACGTACGCATTCAGCCACGCGTCTTTATGCTGGCTTTTGTGTCGTATTGTAAATTTGGAGAAGGTGTGGCAAAGCTGAGCTATATTTCTATTCTGTTCTAAAATCCTGAGCTATTCTGAGACCCTGTACATATTAAGCATCGCCGGCTATCCGCGTGATCTGTTGGCACCTGAAGCCAGAAAAAAGAACGCCTAGAAGCAAGATTAAATTAAAGCGAGTCATCGTCATCTATCCTCTCACACTCACGTCGTCTCGAGTGACTGGCCTGATAAGAATCCAGTTCAGATCCGTCAGAGCAGAAAATATTATTCGTCACTAGTCCAATTCTTAATTTAATTTTTACTAACGCCAGCTATTAACAATGGAGCTGTATCTTAGCGTTGGTGGGTTAAAGAAAGGCCAAATAATAGGCTGCTGGTGAAGTAACTTTTTAGTTTTATAGTTACAAATCAAGTTCCAATAGCTGCAACACGATCACGGCTCGAGGATAAAAAGTGACGATGAGAAGATCTTATGCCGGCTTCCATACACATTAGTTGCATTGGCTATGAGCAGTACTCGAATGAGAGTATCAAACAAATGGATATAGATATAATAATAACAAGTATAACAAGGTAGTGCGGTAACACCCATAACACCGCTTTTAACATAACAACGTTCCATTAAGGACGCGTAAAGCCTATTGACATCATGGAGCAGACAGAACGCAACAGTGATACTACAACATCTCGTTACTGCAGTGGAACTAGCCATAAAACAATTACTTCAACAATATTTGCTCCGTATTGTCTATGGGATTCCTCTTCTAAAATAATTTTTCATAAAGTTTTAAAATAAATATCGGTCCGGATTCCACTGATAAAGATGTATCGATAAGCAGGCGACGATCAGCCTGCGAAGACTGCTTCCTCACGAAGGATTTAGATATTGTGATAAGGCGCTAGTTGTTGCTGGTTACAAATACTGGTTATGTAAATAAGTCTACCGGTTGATCTTCAAATGGGCAATATGCTGTCAGTCGATACTGATTGCGGAAACAAATCAAATTATTTGACATTATTTTAGAAGATCATTCAACATCAAAAGCATCCGATAATCTATGCACGTTTGCAAACAAACTTTTTGGAAAGGTGTAGTATTATTTCTAAAGCTTTTGCTCAGCGTAATAGGCCATAGAAGCACTGTAATGTTGCAAGTTTGGATTTGCGCGACGGCCACTAGGACCTGTTAGTGGTAACGAAGTTCCGCAACTCGTCGTTTCCAACTCGTTCGAGAATGGCAGATGTAATAAGCCCTCTTGCTGGGTTAAGCTGTTATCAAAGGATGCCCACCTTACCACCAGCCTGCTCAGAAGGAGGATTCGCCTTATCCCACACCTTAGGACGCCAATTTACCGCTGGCGTTCAGCATAGAAAATGCTTATCGAACACCCGGCCTGTTCGTAGCCCTTAAACAACATCGAATAACATGGCCCATGCCCATGGAGATCTGCATGTCTAATGGATGCAATCGGTACATTTCAGAGTACCCCTTGAGAAGTTGAATCACACAGGGATGCATATTGCGTAATTGAAGGCAGGGGCAGTAAATTAAACGAATTATGATATTCAGGTAGTACAGTATGTAAATTCTTACAGACAAAGCCAGCAGGCCAAAAAAGTCGCAATGTTTTAATAGGCTATCGAAGATAATCGGCTTTTAATTTTCATGAATATACTTATGTTGTCACTAGCGAAAATCGCCTATTGATCGCCTCTTAGGCAGAAAATAGCTAGTCCTCAATAATCGTTTTCCGCAGAAAAACTGTAGAACCAATCTTTTCAGCAATTTTGCATTGAACCACAAACCTGTCAAACCGTTTCGTTACTTTATCATGGTGTCATTCATCTAAAACATACTATAATTTTTGTTTTCCCTTTCACTGTCGTCCTTTCAAATGTGACAGACTTGTTCATCTCCATCAGTTACGTCATAATGACTGTGTCACTGTGTTGGCAAAATCGATCGATTTATCCTAGTTATACGAAAGCTTGCACGAAGGGTTACAAGTTGTCGAGCTATAGTACAGGTGCATCTACTGCTAGACTACGTTGCCCTTTATTTTTACCCAACCTTTTTGCTAACTCAGAAGAAGCCTGTGCTTTTTTTTAGGGTACAAAGCCAATAATGACCCGAGCATGTATCATTTGATATCATGATTGTTTGGCCGAGTGACATAGCTGACCCCCTATGGCCACATCGCCTGACTTACTTGTCAATGCATATGGCATTTTCCGTACCAAAATTTTCTTGACAGTATGGTCGACTAAATAACTACAGTGGCTGTTGTAGCACCTGTGCTTCAACGGCCTTATATATTCTTCATATTTCTCGATACTGAAGTTGTTAGGGAAGTTCTCCGCTAACCGGAACGTAGTGCCTTATTAAAACCTGTTCAGGGGCGAGGCCAGCCATATTGTGACTTTGGCTGATTATTTCCCCCTATTTACTTGTCTTGCGTCCTCTTTTTTCCTCTAGTCAGCACAAGTCAACTACCTGCCGTCGCACAATTTGTCTTTTTTCTCTGCTTATTCGTTGCTTTGAGGGTCCTCCATTTCTTGCAAATATATTCTGGTAAGCTCGCCTGCTAGCTAGATTCCTGTTTGTACGAACGCGCTTATTCACGATCTGTATGTGAATCTGTACGAATGCATGCATTTGTTGAATTACTCAACCTACTGGAAGGACCGGCAGGCCTCTTCTAGTATTCAGGCCTGCATACAGTCCTAAATAATGATGACGACCTAACAACTTCAAAAAACAAAAAAATTAGAGAGAATTTACTCATTTTATGTGCATGTAATACTGAACAACATCAGAACTGCGCGGTTCAGCCAAGGGGCTGTTGAGTCGTCACAATGAATGAAGGAAAGATTGTGACAGGATTTACGTAAATATTAAGGAGCTTATACATGACACGTGTATAAACCGATGCAAATATCACCCTGTGTGCCTATAGACTAAGGGTTACAATGCAACAGTGTAATGTAATATAATGTACATTGGGGTAGATACCTGAAGAATTCTGGTTGATCCTTACATATATAGAATTTGTTTTGTTTTAATAACAATAATATAATAATTATATATATATATATATATATATAGAAACACAATTCGTTCATAGCTTCTTATTTTTGCATTTACGCTCTTGGGACTCACCACGAAAAATAATTGTACACAAAATCTGTCAACTGCTTCTCTAAAATAGATTATGTATGCAGTCGTTTGAAAATAAATGAATTTATAAAAAAAAATATACTAGTTTATTAGGTATCAAATGCCTAGAGTGCTTCAGCTGCTTTATATATATATGTAGCTCGTATTAAAACTTTGCAGTTCGTGCTGTAAACGGAATCTTAGTCATTTTATATAGCATGGTAACCTAACTATCCAACTTAGGAAACGTTTTTCCTTATACGAGAAAACGTCATTTTTCCCTATCACGTA